CTGAAGGGAGGGAGAGAGGTTGGCAATGTGTGGGTTTGGCAGCACATCAGGATCATTTCTGGGGTTTAAGTTCATTGACAAGAGATTTGTCTAGGCCTGATTCATGATTTCACATCTTAATAATCCCATAACCACTAAGCAGGTGGCTAGATGGAAGGAAACCATTGTTTTCCCCAGCTTCACTTCTCAACTAATGAGCAGGCTCCATTAGATACATCCAAAGCCTGAGAAACTTGTGGTGTTGGGGACACAGTGGTCAGATATGGTAGACCAGGAGCTTCCCTGGCACCCTGAGCTCACATCTGGCTGATTTCAAGCTGCTAGGGCAAAGCTCCCAAAGCTGAATCCCAAACTCTGCTTGGCTTATTCAACTGGGATGCAGTTTGGACGAGAATCAGTCAGGTATTAACAAGCTAGTGACATATTAGTAACAGTTTTAGTCAATTAATATTTCACATCTTAATAATCCCATAACCACTAAGCAGGTGGCTAGATGGAAGGAAACCATTGTTTTCCCCAGCTTCACTTCTCAGCTAATGAGCAGGCTCCATTAGATACATCCAAAGCCTGAGAAGCTTGTGGTATTGGGGACACAGTGGTCAGATATGGTAGACCAGGAGCTTCCCTGGCACCCTGAGCTCACATCTGGCTGATTTCAAGCTGCTAGGGCAAAGCTCCCAAAGCTGAATCCCAAACTCTGCTTGGCTTATTCAACTGGGATGCAGTTTGGACAAGAATCAGTCAGGTATTAACAAGCTAGCGACATATTAGTAACAGTTTTAGTCAATTAAAATTTGTTGTTTAGGTCAGGCACAGTCTCAGGGGAGGCTCAGGATGGGCTTCTGGGCTCCCTGGGGTCTTTGGTGACCAAAGATAAAGTGATGGGGCTGACACCATCAGATCCCACGAGGGGGCGCCTGTCACACCCCGACAGGAAAATTGAATTGTGGTTGTCTGGTTCAGTCACCAGCAGCCCTCTAGGTGCTCTCGGGGTTGTTGGTGGCAGTGAAGTCACTGCAGTGGTTGTTACTAGAGTCAGGGGACACCATGGGCCATCTGGTCTCGCTCCACCAAAGCTGCACTAAGTGCATGTGCCATGATCCCGACACAAACTGGAAACAATCAGCATGGCCTTGTTGAAGTTCAAAGGAGCTGGCTGGTTTTCCTTCCCAGAGATGCTGGTGGCTGGCAAGAAGCCTGCATCTTCATGCACCACCTTGTTATTCTTTTTGATTTTCCTGTCCTAGCACATCCCTGTCAAGGATGCTGAGTCACCTACTTAGGGGTAGTTAGAGCCAGGACTTAAAAGGCGGTAACGGCGTATGTGAAAGATGACTGTGTCTTACAAATCTAATCTTCCCAGCCCCACTGGAGAACTTTCTGTTAATAACAATAACAATAGCACCAGTGAGTCCAGGATACAGGAAGGTGGGCCACAGAGGGGAAGGCCACAGGGATCCTGCTGAGACCCCAGTTTCATGCAGCTTCTGCAGAATCTTTGGGTACTGAATATGAAGAACTGGGGGACGCACAACTGGAGGCCCTGGAACACCACCCACCAGGTGCCGGGCCTCTCCATTCCCCAGCCTGACTCAGGAGACCTGCCGGGGTAACTTGGCTCTCCCCCTTCTCCTCCTCCCCCTCCCCTAGCTCTGGCTTTCCATCCCCCCCAGAGCTTCTCAGCAGAGAGAGAACCTCCTGGAGTTGATGTTCATCTTGGTGACGCCGATGAGCTTAAGCGGTGTGGAGAGGCTGAAGGAGGAGGCCAGCGGGGAATCGCAGAAGAGGTCAGCCAGTTCATCCCGCTCTTCCAGGTCATAGGTGGCATCGTTGAGCATCCTCCTGTGCAGGTGGCAGGTCTGCTCGATCTTCAGCTTGTTGATGTCCCCACGGAGGCGCATGAGCTGCCTGGCCAGCTGCTGGTCCTGCAGCCGCATCTCTGCCTGGAAGGGAAGGCCAGACATCATCAGTCAGCAGGCCAGGCAGGGGCTGCTACTCTGTGGTCCCTGCTGAGCAGACTCGTTAATAGGAGTCCTGACTGATGTCCTGGCTCACTGACAGGTCCGCCTAGCATCAGGAACACATGCTAGCTCAGCGAGGTGAGAAGACCCTGGGTGGTAAAGGAAGGTGTCAGTGAAGCTTTGTGCCAAGCTAGTTGCTCTGTCTAAATCCTTCTTTACGATAGTCCCAGCCTAAAGTTACTTTCAGTCCACTCCCATTTTTTAGTGTTCAGGTGAAATGAGCGTGTAAAAAAACGGACCAGAGAGGCTGGAGAGATGGCTCAGCGGTTGAGAGCACTGACTGCTCTTGGAGAGGACCAGAGTTTTATTTCTGCACCCACATGGTGGCTAAGGATTGTCCCTAACTCCAGTTCCAGAGGAATCTAATGCCCTCTTCTGACCTCTGCGGGCACTGCACAACACAGGTGTGCACTTAATTCATGCAGGCAATACACTCATAAACTTAAAATAAAACTATAAATAAAATTAAAAAAACTGGACTGGAGTGGCAAATACTAGATCCAGCAGCATGGTTTCTGGGTGGAAAGAAGGGACTTGATGTAAGGGGCATTCAGGGCTTTCTATCACAAGATCATGGCTAAGGGCTGGCATGCTGCTATCTTTTTAAAAAAATATATTGTAAAAAATGTTTTATTTATCCTTTGAAAAATTTATGCATTTATATAGCAAGTTTTGATCACAGCCATCCAGCACTATCTCCCTCCAACTCCCCCTGTGACCCTACCATGTCTCCCTTCCAACTTCATGTCATCCTTACTGTTGGTATAAATAACCCCAAATCCAATTAGTGCTGCCCACATGCACGTGGATGTGGGGCCGTACACGGGGCATGGGAGCCTGTCCGTGGCCACATCCTGAAAGGAGAGGGACTCTGCCCCACTTAGCAGCCTGTTACCTTATTCTTTAAGCATCTCAGAATTTCTGAAACATTTCTTTTTATTTATTATTTTTTATTTTTTATGTGTATGCGTGTATTGCCTGCATGTAGGTAAGTGCACCCGTGTCGTGCAATGCCTGCAGAGGACAGAAGAGGTCGTCGGATCCCCTGGAACTGGAGTAACGGACAGTTGTTAGCTGCCATGTGGACGCTGGGATTCAAACCCGGGTCTTCTGCAATAACAACCAGTGTTCTTAACCGCTGAGTCATCTCTCCAGCCCCCTGAAATATTTCTTAATAAAGGTTCCCAGGAGTCAAACATTACACATGGGCTGATATTTACCGTGTTTTATTATGAACTAGGCACAGTGCTAACATTCCACATTTAGTCCTCACTATACTCTGTGGAGTTCGTACTACGCCCACAGCCACAGATGAAGAGGCTGAGATCAACTGTCAAAGCAGTGGTAAAGCTGGGGGAGAGTCCAGACAGCGGGACCCACGAGGCTGACAACTCAGCTCTGCCTCTCAGGTAGAGCAGAGCCTGGGGCATTGTAGAGGGTTTCTGAGGTTTTAGGCACCTCTGTTTCCTGTTAAGAAAGGGATGTGCTAAGAACTCCCATTGGTAGTTTCCAAAATCCATCCACACTTTGAAGCCCTTGGCACCTCACAGCCTCCTTCAGGAACCTGCAGGGAGGGAGCTCAGAGGGGTTCAAAATATCCCTCAACGTTGTAACTGTGACTTGGCAGAGAGGGAGTGCACCTGGGATCTCACTAGACTTGGTAAGCAGCAGTTTCCATAAAAAGGGTTTGTCACTAAGACAGGTCACCAGCTGTTCCCACTTGACTGGAGACTCAATTCCATCTCACAGTTTGCTCTGTATACACTTGCAGTGGAGTCAGGCTCAGCTCTGTGGTCTACCAGGTGCTTAGAGACAAAGGAGCCATGTAAGAGTCCAGAAGGACCCTCCCTGTGGCTATGCAAATAGGCTCACTTTCCTTACTGGGTTTGGAAAACAGCCCACTGTAGTAAAGAAAATTAGCGACTTCACCAGTGAGCATTTGATCTCTCTCTCTCTCTCTCTCTCTCTCTCTCTCTCTCTCTCTCTCTCTCTCTCAATAAATAAAGAGGAGTGTGAAGAGACTCTGGAGGGATGGACGGTGTAGCGGTTAAGAACACACACTGCTCTTGTAGAGGACCTGAGCTTGGTTTCCAGCACTCATGTTGGACAGCTCACAACTGCCTGTAACGACAGCTCGAGGGGATCCAACATGCTCTTCTGGCCTCTAGGGGACCTGCGCTTGTGTGCACATATGGACAGACAGACACACGCATACACATAATTAAAAATAAATAAATCTTTAAAAAATGGGAAGGACTATGTCTCTAGAACTTATTTTGAAACACGGTCCTGTAGCCCCAGCTGGCCTGGAACTCACTATGTAGAACAGGCTGGCCTTGAACTCACAGAGATCTGCCTACCTCTGCCTCCCAAGTGCTGGGACTAAAAGCATGTGCCACCATGCCCAGCCTAAGAATTTATTTATTATTTATTATTTTTATTTTATTTATTATTTATCATTTTTGTTTTTTGTGTATGAATGTATTGCCTGAATGTATGTAAGTGCACCTGTGTTGACCAATGCTTGTGGAGGTCAGAAGAGGGTGTTGTGTTTCCTGGAACTGGAGTTACAGACAGTTGTTAGTTACCATGTGGGTGCTAGAAGCCTAACCCGGGTCCTCTGCAAGAACAGTCAGTGCTCTTAACTGCTGAGCCATCTCTCTGCCGCCCCCCCAAATTTTTAAAAAAATGTAAAATCTGTCGGGCGTGGTGGTGCACGCCTATAGTCCCAGCACTTGGGAGGCAGAGGCAGGCAGATCTCTGTGAGTTCAAGGCCAGCCTGGTCTACATAGTGAGTTCCAGGACAGCTGGGGCTACAGGGAGATCCTGTCTCAAAAAGACCAAAATAAAAAGTAAAATCTGTACAACATAAAATATGTCATCTTGGTCATTTTGAAATGCAGGTAAGTGTTAAGTATGTCTTTGTATAATAATCACCACCATACAACTGCAGAACTTCATCTTTCTCAACTGAAACTAGCAACTGTTAAAAAACAATGTCCACCAGCCCCTGGCAGCCCCTAGTCCACTGTCTGTCTCTTTGAATTGGATGACTCTAGATGCCCCCACTGGCTCTCCTGAACTTCGCCTGTGCTGTTTCCCATCTCCTCCTACCACTTCAGACTAGAGGAGTTTTCATCTGTCTTAGAGACGAGGAAACTGACTGAAAGCAGTTCAGGAGCTGCTCAGTACCCGCCATCCTGGGAACACTGGCACCCAGATCCCATCTGGATTAGAGCAATGGCTCCCCAGAGACCAGAGGCAGCAGACCTGTTGCAAGAACCCCTTTCCTGCTATTGGGCAGCTTTCGGCCAGTCACCAATGCTTCCCGAACCTCTACCTCTTGCTCTGCAGGAAGGGGACAGAGATGTCTCCAGACCAGACAACACGCATAGGAGCCATACTGGCTGAGGGCAGGGGAGTGGCATCTGGTACCCAAGTGCTTCTCTCCAAGTCAGGATGCAGTACTTGCAGATTGGTACACTGGCCCTAGACTCCAGCCCAGGGACTCAGTATGGGTTGAATACTGTCCTCTGTTTAAAGCTCAGTGCGAATGGACCTCCTTCCCGTATATCTTCCCCGGGTGGCCTGCTTGTGCCCCTAGGGATACAGCACAGACTGGATTCAGAGGTGTGGTCCGTTGTTCCAGTAATCCCATAATTAGGACACAACTCCTAGTGAAAGAGCGAGAGATGCCACCGGTCAGGGGCTTTGGTGAATTATGGGGAGCGGGTAGATCCCCCTGGCATGAGGTAATAGAGGTTACCCCTCCGACAGAGCCGGGACTGTGGTCCAGACTCATCTGCTGCCTGCAGACATTGGTTATTCTGAGGCATATGAGAAGTTTCTTAGGAGAGTTGGCCTGTCTCTTCAGGTAGAAGATGAACCCCTCAAGGGCAGGATTAGGCAGCTAACCACAGTAATTACAGGGCTCTGAAAGAGGAGAGAAATTTCCGGACCTCCAAGCTTATTTGGTGAGATGAGGCATTGAGGTGCTGAGGGAAGGTGCAGGGAAGAAAGCCCCAGTGCAGAGTCAGCTGAGGAGATCCAGAGACCGGAAAGATCTCAGGTGAATGTGTGTCTGGTTACTGTGAAGGGATCTTAACACCAGCACTTTCCTGGAGAGAGGGGAGAAGCCCAGGCCTGCTCTGGGCTGGAAGCAATGGAAAGGCAGGTCAAAGAAAACCTCTGTATGTCCTTGATAAGGTGACATGTACCCTACGGCTAGGGGTTTCACTCTGGGGTGTATATTCATATAAAACAAGTGGAGACAAGGACTCCAAAGAGACCTGTGCCCCATGTTCAAAGCGGCACACCCTGACTATGGGACAGATGCCGTCTGTCCATGCTCTGGATGCTATCCAACAGCAATGAGGAGATTCGCGCACAGGCCACAACATGGATGGGCCTTGAGGGCTTTATGCTCAGTGACATAGGCTGGTTACAAAAGGACACATATCGTATGATCCCATGTATGTGGAGTGGCCAGAACAATCACATCTGGAGACACATAGTAGAAAGCGGTTTTCCAGGGGGTGGGGATGAGGAACCAGTGTTTAATGGTCAAGATGGGCTGTGTCATGGTTAGCACATAAAGACAGGACATCTCAAGGTGAAGGGCATGTTGTCTAGCCCCCAATTCTGGGGTCTATTAGTGCCATCTCAGCCTAAGTAAGAGCTTTTGTTTGTCTCTAATGGAGGAGGCAGAGTTGAGATCCAGGAAACATCTCCACTGGTGTGAGGGGACAGGCTACACTCCATTTCCTCATGGCTGGGCAGTGGACACAGTCTTGGTACTCCATCCTAGGTGTGTGTTTAGCTGAAAGGTTGGCCATTGCTGCTCTTATGAGTATTGTGTCTGAGTCTCCATGGAGCCTGGACAAAGCAGCGTGGCTTAACCCTGTCTGACCAGAGAATGACAA